AAGGGGAGGAAAATCAATTCTTTTGCATGATACCTGCAACCCGAGTAATTACAATCAATACAGCTTTAAACTGATGGCGTCTTTAATACGAACCCTCGATCAATTCAATTTCCTGATGTGGCCCCGTGATTGCCAGTGGCAAGCGGTCAAGTCACTGCAGTGGCCTTCTGCATTGAGAATCTAACAGGATTGTTCCCCCTTTAAACCAAGCAGACTAATTTAAAAATAAGAAATCCAACCAGTAGATTTGTGTGCTTCCAATTTTCATGAAGTGAAAAAGGCAAAATTTATTATTATTTCTTATTGAAAAAGATGAAGAGAAGTAACATTCAGAAAAAAATGTTGCAACCTGACGCCACTTTTTTTCTTCATATATTATCTCAATGAAGGTCAGTCATTGCAAAACTGATGATTAGACATGAATCTGAGACTGAGAAACATTTCCAATTTTGTTAGGAATTACTTTTCTAGAAAATTTTCTTGACTCTCCATAGACTTTGTACACAACCGCTGAAGTGGCATCAGGCTGCAACATTTTTTCCTAACATTCTTATCAACACTCACACATAATTTATTGAGAAGCCTGTTGACAGGTATGCACAGAGTTTCATTCTCTTGTGCATATTTTATGTCATTGAATTGCAATAGAAATTCTTCATTCCGCAGTAAAAAGAAACTCCTTGTTGTCTCTTTCCTACATTCTCTCTGACTTTGGAGGAAGGATGAAATTATCATTTAGAACCATAAAAAAACCTGGCTTGGAATATCAAGCTATCAATTTACGCGTGTGAAACACATACGCCCTATTTCTCAGAGTATCACCTTACGGATCCCTTTAGGGCATTTAATAATGCCTTACTAAGGCACACATACTCTGTAAACATTCTCACGTCTTTCATCAGATTTACAAATTGGTAAGCTTCAACACATGGGCACGCACAAAGCACAAATCTTGACCCTAGTTTCCAACTCTTTATACTGAACCTTTTTCTAGCTTTGCTTTGATCAGCCTGAGGGCATGATTCCCAAGTGACGCCAGAATCTCGTAGCTGTAAGCACCCAAAGTCATACTTGCTGTTTGTTCAGGCTTGCCCACAAAGTGCAAGTTCAACAAGACAAAATCACAGAGGACCACCTGAAGATGTAACGCTTGGGATGTGAGTGTTGGGAATGGACTGAGTTACATGATTGTGGCCCAGCTGAGCAATGAGAGATTGTCATGTGAAGGATACTGGCTTGCGCTGCCTCTCTGCAGCAAAATCAATACAGGCAGTATGATGAACAGGGGTCAATTTCACGGCGCTGCTTAGCACAAAAATTTGCTTAGCACAAAAAAAGACTGGCTTATAAAAGCACGTTACCAGCCAAAACTCCACGTAATGTATATTGCTCGTGATTAGTATTCAGCTGTTGTTTGCTTAGCATGAAAATCACATGGAGTTTTGGCTGGTAAGCTGCTTTTATAAGCCAGTCTTTTTTTGTGCTAAGCAAATTTTTGAGCTTAGCAGCGCCGTGAAATTGGGCCCAGGATGTGCGTCCAAGCTTGCTAAATTTAAGCATTGATACCTTTCCCCCCCCCCCCCCCACCCCCGAACTAGTTTGCCCTTGCCTAGATTTGTGTGTAGTTGCTACAAATGTACCCTAGAATTAACCGATTCTACTCAGAATTTACGTTGCATCTGTGTCGCCAGTGTATTACTTTCGGATTGCTTGACATGATGTGATGGACTTGACATATTCAAAACACAAAATCTGACAATTGAAATAATGTTTTAGTCTTGACTCAAATGTGATGCGATCAAGCTAAATGAGTCGTGATTACATATCACTTCATCACATCTATTGATGACATGATGGACACACATGGAAATCTGTGAACAACCTGATTGCCAGCAACTTTTATTGCCTCAAAATTGCCAGAAAATTGCCCCATGTGACGCCGGCTTTAAAGGGTTCTCATGATTGACTCATGTGATAATAAAATCAGTATCTGGATAATTTTCATGGCTTTTTTGACTGATCAGTATTACAACAGGCACCGTTCAAGCTGATCTGTCACCTTTTTTTATTGCCTGTGTGCTATGCGTCACAAGCTATGTGAGTAATGTTACGGTGTACAAATATTGAATGCTTCGAGTGGTGTAGTAAAACTAGCCTCCCGAGGTAATCCATGGACATTCTATTTTCTCGAGGCGAAGCCGAGGGAAAATAGAATGCTCCATGGATCACCGAGGGAGGCTAGTTTTACTTCACCACGAGATAAAGCATTCAATATTTGTTTTATAACACTTCACCCACAGATTCTGCTTGGTTTTAATATTTGAAATTATTTAAATCTGAACACAGTTGAAATAAACTTCAATTTCAATACAAAATTAGTGGAAAATGTATTTCTCTCTTCCAAACTACCCCTTCGCAAAATGTTTGAACCCAACTCTGTGGCACGCTCTCTTTGGAACAAAACGCGCTACGCGCACAACAGCATGCATTTGCACACAAATACCGCGCTGTGGAAATTGTACTTTGGTTGCTAATGGTATAGTACTTTGGTTGCTACGGGTATAGTACTTTTGGCCGTGCACAGAAAGATCTCAAAAATAGAAAGTATCATGTGACTCGCTCTGGGCCAATCAAGACACAGAATCTGTGGGTGAGGTGTTATAATAATCTCTAAGGGATAGAGCACCAATAAAAGTATCAGGTTTTATAAAATCAGTTTTCTATATTTCCCCTTGACTTCCTGCAGCTTTTATTTCCTTGTTTCTTCTCATTAATCTTGCTGCACCTGTCTGCCAGCTGTTGCCAAGCCCATCACAAGTCAAGCCCGTCATTTTTCATCCTGGATTACTTGTGACTTTCTTGTGATCCAACCTGTTACCGGAATGTGATTTTGATTTTACTTGTGATTGACTGGTGATTTAATTGACTTACAGTTTGACTCTATCACATCTCTGCTGTCATTCAGTATTGAGCGCAGTTCATATCCCATTACATTGTGACAGACATACCCCTCAACGCTCGAGGACGTTAACGTTCCAGTCATCCTATCCAAGCGTAGCTCTTGTTGATGGAGCAACTTCCACTTAAAGAGACATTGCACCATACTATAAGATCTTATCTTGGACCCATGCCAAAAGCTAATGAACTTAACTTGCCACACAGGGGCAAAATTAGAAAAGAACAAATTAGAAATAGGAAAGAAGTTTGGCACCTTTACTGTCCCCGAGTCTCATCTGTCTTGATCGTGCAAAAACAGCAGATAGGTGATGGGATTGCACCTTTGATGATACAAGCGTGGCATTTGGCACGCTGCAGTCTGAGTATGTCATGAGAAAGATATTTTGCTATAGGGCCATTGCAGGTTTGTCCTTTGAAACAAATATAGGTAGAATAACAAGCAATGGCAGCCGTTTTGAAAGTTTAGAAAATTGTTTGTTATCATTCTACCTGTTTTTTTTGTTTTTTTCAAGGGACAAATCTGCGATGGCCCTATAGCCAAACATCTTTCTTAAGACATACTCTGACTGTGTGCCAAATGCCATGCTTGTATTTTCAAAGGTACAATTCCCCCAAATATTACCCCTATCTGCCCCACTAGCAGGGTGTGGTGACTTTGTAGTCTGGTTCGTTGAACTTGAGATCTTGTGGCTATAAATTATGAAGACTGTGGGTTTGATTCCAGCCTGGGTTTGTGGTGCCAGGAGTAAACTACCTGTAGTTGTGTTTGACTGAGCCGATTGCACCTATACAGTGTGAGTCAAAAAGAAAGTGACTGAATTAGAAAAAAAAACATTTCAAAATATGTGGCTTGCTCCATTTCACAAAAATAACACAGGGATAAAGTACCGGTACATGATATTGACTAGTGACTGTGAACATTTCAGGTTAATTTTCATACTGTATTCCCAAGTTATGTCTATTTAAATAACAAGATCGAACTTATGAATACCCATTTAATACAGTGAAACATGGACGTTCTCCTACCTCCATGAATGGACAAAAACTTTGCAAAGGAAACAGACAGAAATCGCAATCAATATTTCCGAAGAAAAAAAAAGGGTCAACTTGTTCCTCATATTCAAAAATTTTCAGTCGAAATAATGTTTTAGTCTTGACTCATATGATTAAAATTGCATTTGTATTTGAATGCCTGTGTGTAATCTTTATTTCTCACTTGGCTCAATAGCTTCCAATTGCATTTTATGGACAGCAGCTATAAAAATAGGTTCTTTTAGTAAGTGCATAACTTCTAATAGCTTGGATCAATTTCAGTAATTTCTTTTCAGATGAGTGGAAGTGCATGTTCTTATATTCATTGGTGTATCAAATAGATCATTAATCCAGGTCACTTTCTTTTGGAGGGAAGTGTGGCCTAGTGGTAAGGGTTTGTGACTCTTGATCAGAGGGTCAGGGGTTCGAATCCAGCTGCTGGTCAGATGTTGTGTCCCTGGGCAAGCCACTCCATCCCCACTGGCCTCTCTCTACCCAGGAGTATTTATGGGTACCGGCATTAGCTGGGGAGTAACCTGTGATGGACTAGCATCCCATCCAGGGGAAATAGAAATATTCTCAGTCGTTTGCTTCCTGCTACTGAAACCGGAGAGAAACTCCGGCCTGATGGGCCACATTGGCTTGTGACAGACTTAACTTTACTTAATTTCTTTTTAACTCACCCTGTATAGCAGCAGCAAGCTGTATGCTCTCCAGAGAGATGAGATAATTATTGGCATGTTTTCATGTGTCCCCGAGCAGGGGTAATAATAATGATGTATAAATGTACTGCACCATGAGCAGCTACCGGTATGTGGGTTATATAAACCCACAGTATTATCGATTGATAAATATTCCTTAATTTATATTCAGCATTATTATTTTATGTAGATGCGTTCACACCTGTGCCTCAGTTGTTGACTTTCCCACCGTCCTTCATCACATTAATGTCTATATTCTTATCTCAATTTCTTTCTCGCTGGTTTTTTTTTCACACCTATCCCCCTTAGCTCTGCCGAGCCAGCAGTGTATGTCCGGTTACTTCCGCTGCGACAACTTGGTTTGCGTGCGACCAGATGACGTGTGCAGTTTGCGGAAGGATTGCCTATTGGGTGAAGATGAAGACGTGAAACACTGTGGTAGGTGGTTGTCGTGTGGAGCAAGTACCGTAGGTAGTTAAGGGAGGCTAAGTGGTGATATAGCGATATCAAAAGTTAGTCATCAAAAATTGTCATAAGTTATCACAGGTCGGTCACAAATCAGTCACAAGTCATCCAGTTCCAAACCAAATAGCTATTCAAATGAAGTGTACAGAACTATAGTCGTTACGGTGTTCGACTCGTGTGCCGTGGTACGTGGGTTCGAATCCTGACCGTGGGAACATGGTGATTGTGCTCTTCAGCAAAGCACTTTACCATTATTGCTTTGTCTTTCGGATGGGACGTAAAGCCGTAGATCCTGTGTGTTGTGTAATGCAGGTTAAAGAACCCAGTAACACTTGTCGCTACGAGAAGGGGTTTGCCCCGGTGTTTCTGGCAGTGGCAGCAATTATGCGCCGCAGCACCTAACAAAAAGGCGCTACATAATTGGTCTCATATGTTCATGTATACTTCATTTACCTGTCTGTGGTTGCATTCTCCCCCAGCGCCTTGTATCCTCTGGCAAAAGGCGCTATATAAATACAGTTATTATTATTATTATTATTAGTCATTGTCCATCCCCTGTTACTTGTGATCTTACGTGATTTGACTTTTGATCGACTTATGATTGACTTACAACTCAAGTGATGATCACTGACCTTGTGAGTTTTCATTGTAAGCAATTGCCTTATCCTGAGTATAAGTGCCTAAGCTAGAGGAGGAATTTTTGCATCACGGAAATGTTTAAGAAAATAAAAAGAGTCAAGTATTTTGAAGCAAATGTTATTGCGATTTACTACACCTCATAAATATTCATGATCAAATTGGAACGCGTCATTGGCCGATTCCACCGCGCGTCCGGGAAGTAAAAATGATACGCGCCCAGGTGACGTCATCCCGGTGAGTATCCAGCTCGCTGCCGTGCGGTAGTTGTTTCTGGTAGCACCAAAAATTCCCTCTGGAACCCGCCTCGTAGACTATGGCATGTAATCTTTGCGGAACCAGTCTGTTGTTGTAATCCTTGCTACTACCGCAGTAAAAACACATTAAAGAGTGTTGGCACCAGACTATTTCATGTACTGTGACGAAGAACTTGAATTGTGCTGAATAAAGATGCAAAATCTACGTGAGGCTACTAAAAAGACAGTGATGATGCTACAAATATCTATGAGTTGTAGTAAAACAAATACTGCATGGTTTATTTCTGGAAAATAGTTGGAATTACTGGTCCCTCTGTGTAGGTCAGCTTGACTACCTCCCTCCGCTTCGATAATTAAGCATAGCTGCCAACTGTTACTAATTTTTCGTAATTATTACGAATTGTTTGTTAAATTACGAAAATACGATTTGCCACTAAAACATTACGAATTTCCCATTTTCTACCTAATGAAAAAAAAAATACTTGTAAAGTATCGTTTTTGACCGAAAACTTCTGGCGAAATGTCGCGATAATGGATGGACTGGTGACAAGTCTAATAAGAATGCAGTCAAGCACCTGATAGACATCAATGCAGTGTGCGCAGTGGAGTACTTGAGGACCAGACTAAAACTATTTTTCAATGGTGTGTCATTTGTGTGCATCTCGTGGATGTGTGGTTGTGTGTACTGTATGTGAGTACTTTTCAGTGACGATCGTGAGCACTTTTGGTCGCTTTTTGCCGGGTTGAGACCCATCAGTGCGACAATTTAATCATGGAATTTAATAAGAGTATGGTTGGAATAATTGGTATTGAAGTTTGAGTTTGTCACAACGTCCAGAAAAGATAAATCAGCATGCGTTTGCAAGGTATGTTGGCGGGATATTTCTATTGCATACGGTCATGACGGTAGCCCTAAATCATTGTGTGTAAAAAACATTGATACGAACTCGAAACTCCACATCGATAGCATGCATCTCCAAAAAAATATGTGCATATTTTATTATTGTTATTATTTATTTGACTCCAACAAACAAATACAGACATTCAAAAAAATTAATTAAAAAAAAAAAAAAAAAAAAAAAATTAAATTATCTTTTGGCCTACATTACATTATTATTCACAAGAAGAAGGGTATGCACATGTATGTGTACATGTAAACCATGTACCTGTACTCCATGTTGGTAAAGCTTTTGATAAAACGAGAAGTTGAAAATGACCGCGCGGGTTGATTACTAATTGGGATTTTGAAATGTTGGCAGCTATGATTAAGGATAGACAGTAATTCCGAAGGTCGATATCCCGACCCTTTTGTGCCTTTGAAGGCATGTAGCTTTATAAAATAAAATTCTTTTTTCGTGATTTAACAGGGGTCATTCCCTTTGGGGGTGCATGTTCCTTTGAGGATGGCTGGTGTGGCTGGCACAATGTTATCCAAGATGACGATTTTGACTGGACCAGACACAACGGTAGCACACGTACATCCAATACGGGACCGAGCTATGATCATACGTTGGGTAACAGCAAAGGTAATTTCCCCCCCCCCCCCTTAAAAAAAAGGACAGGAAAGAATCTATGATTCAGATGTAGGACTTCTTCATCTCCTTGGTTTTGTCTCTAGCTTTGTCTCCCTCCCTGGCTCTGCCTTCTTCCCTGGCTCCAAAATCATTAGAAAGCCTTTGGTGTTAAAAACAACAGAACTACTCTTACATGTAGGGCCTACACTTTGGTCCGGGGGTGAGATTTGTCAGGCTTTTTCCAGATTTGTCAGAATTTTTCCTGATTTCAGGATTAAAACATAAAAATCCCTTTGAATGTTGAATTTGGGAGATTTCACCATAAGAGGTCTCTGTACCTAGAAAGGTTTATACAGAGCAAAAGAAATGGGTATTCTAAGGGGTGCCGTTAGTGAAATACAAACATATACCATAGTCCCTAAGTTTTTCTTGGCGGTTTCTAAACCCCACCCCAATCTCTACCCTGCTTTGGCCTTGTGTTGTAGGACATTAAATGTTTCTGCCGCAGAAAAATGGCAAGTATTGAGCTGGTAATCCAAATATTAAAAAAGTAGATCTAGAGCCTGAGGCGGGAGCTAGAGACAAAGGCAAGGCTTTATAGCAACCTGTTTAATAAGGATTTTCATTTTTCACTGGTATCTCCCAAACACAATGCCAAGGGCCACTTAAAGTGTGGTCTATGGGGAACATTGTGCTTGTGTTCTTGGGCAAGACACTTTACTACAATTGCCTCTCTCCACCCAAAAGTATGAATGGGTACAAGTGAAGGTAGAGACCGGATTGTGCTGATCTCGAGCTGCAGAAAAATTGTCACATGGCCTGATGAGCAGTGAAGTGCTTTGAGACCTTTGGTATAAAGCGCTATATAAGCACCACATTATTATTATTATTAATTATTATTATTATTTCCTGAAAGTGTACCCTCTAATGGTATGAAATACAAATTGGCAGGCAATAATGTGTTATCTCAGTGCACCTTATGCGGTATTTGATCAAGTAGGTAATACAACAATACATGTATGTGTGACTTGTAACAGTAATCTTAATACAACTCATTTAATTGTGATTGGCCTGAAAGGTCGTGAGCAATTTTAATCAGAGCTGTATGCCGTGCTGGTTTCTGGACAAATGCACTGTCAGTGATCTCTGACGCACACATCTTGGTCTATACAAGTACTACCACACTTCATATGCTCATGAGTAACACCATGTAATAATTTCGTAATAATTTCACCAGCAACACTCTCCAAGATGGCTAATCCAGGCTGTTATCGCCCATCGTAGATTATGTTTGTATTGACGTGTTGTGTACTTTTTCGTGGCGCCATTCACATTAAGCGTCAGTGACTCTTATGCCCAAAAGAATATCCCATATAGATTCCCACCTCAGCTGGCAGTTCTGACGTCACACACATTTTACTCATTGCAGAGCCAAATACACTTGACAGCATTTTTCACATAATGCAAATAGAAATGAGTAGGAGTTACACGCACAATTTCACTTTGTAATGGAATTCGTACAATCGGAATGACAATGTAGAGATACTTTGTTGTTTTCCAGCATATCACAAGAAAACATGAAAAGTAGTTTGAAAAGAGAAAAGTATGCAATAAAAAGAGACAAACTCTGTGGTGAAAAAATACATTGGAAGGACTTTTTAGCTGCAGGTAGCAACTCAATAAATCATCATAACAGGGTGAGTAAAAAAAAACCGAGACCCAAATGTTTGGACCACTGTTTTAGTGAAGTTTTGCATGTAACACTTTCAAAATCTAGAATATAAAAGCCCAATTCATAAGCCTTCTTTTAGTACAAGAATCATTGAAATCACTCATGCACTTTTCAAGTTACGGAATTTTAAACACAACCACCATTTTAAGGTTCTGTCCACGGATCACAAAAAAAGTTCAGTGTTCTTTCAGCAAAACAAAAACAAATCACATAGGGCTGTGTGTGAATTGTTTTCGTTTTGCTGAAAGAACGCACACCATTTTTGTGATCTGTGTACAGAACTTTAAAACGATGGTTGTCTTTAAAATTGTGTAACTTAAAAAGTACATGAGTGATCTGAATGTTTCTTGTACTAAAAGAAAGCTTATGAATTGGGCTTTGATGTCCTAGATTTTGAAAGTGCTACATGTGGAACTTCAATAAAATAATAGTCCCGACATTTGGGTTTCGTTTTTTTTTTACTCACCCTGTATTATAAAGTTTGCAGGTAACACCATGTGGAAAGAAATGTCTGCTTGGAAGAAGTGTGGTTCTGAAAAGAACCGGCAGGTTGAGTGTAGAACTCGACGATTCGGACAGTGTGCTCTGTCTGTCCTCAGGAGGGTGTGAGGATGGACAGAGGACGGACAGGGCACACTGTCTTACCTGCAAACTTTATAATTTATCTCATCCGCCATGCAAAGCTTCAAGTCATATAAATCATATCTCTCCGTTAGTTAGTTTGTTAGTTAGTAACAAACGTTGACATTGTCTATTGCTCTTACATGTTTTTGACGGATTTCAATCAAACTCTGTCAAACGTATCAGTAGCCCAGCCCCAACATGTCACATGAACAAACTGGGGTCAAAGGTCAACATGGGGTCACTGGGGTCAAAAAGTCTTATTTTCTTAAAACTCAAAAACACTACTCCTTCCAGAAATAACATGGCACATTCACGTGACTCATGCATGAACACAAATTAGTTGGCCCGCAGCTTCCGAGATCCGATCGAGCTTGTTTTTCACTTGGTTGTTCTGTACATGTACATCTACATGTAAAACAGGAAACCACTGGTTCATATCAATTGTTCAATTTTATTGCGCTGTTCACACTCTTAAATGAAGAAGTTTACTTACTTCTGTAGATACAACATTTTGTATTTGCCATGCATGTAGACATATTTCAAGGTTAGCGAGGAGATTCAGCTTTGTATGCTTGTGTAATAATCACACCTTTCTTTCATCGTACTTTTTAAACAGGGCCAGTCCTTCTGGTTTGAAAATCACAGGCGTGTGGAAAAAGGCACACGTGGATTTTTCTAGGTGTGTGATTTTTCTAGGTGTGTGATTTTCTAGGTGTGTGATCTGTGAACCAGGGAAATTGTAGGTGAGCGATGGTGTGGGGGTGTGATCGCACGCCTCAAATCAGAAGGACTGCAGGGCTGAAACATGTTATCTCATGAGTACCATACCGGTAACATTTTACTCAGTTAAAGCTACAGTCCATCATTTGCAGCTATCCACTGACGTAATTATTGTTGAAAAACAAACTTGGTTGAAAGATAGTAAGGGGACTAAACTCCCAGTGAAATTATTCTTTCTGGCAAGCTGTCATTTTGAAGAAAATGGAAATTTCCTTGAGTTTTGGGGGTTTAGAAAATGGAAATTTCCTTGAGTTTTGGGATTTTTTTTATTCGGCGAAGCGCGCGCAAGCAGTGTCATGACACACACACGTGCACGATTGCTATAATTCGTCGGATCGGTGCTCGACATCGCGTAGCTGCAATCGGCTCAGTGAGAACGTGTCTCGGACGCTGAATTCTGGCCCTATTCAAAACTTGATTCAGCAACTTTTGATTTGAAATAGAGATCCTAGAATGCTGAAACTTCATCAGGTTAGTTGTCCAGCACCTTTCTGTAGATTTTGAGCACATTTGTTGCTTCAAACAAACAAAATGCACAAATTACAAATGATGGACTGTATCTTTAACAGTGTGCTCTTTTTTTCATTTATCACCATTTCAATGTTCAACTGTCTGTAGGAGTTCACACTTCAGGTTCCTTTTCACCCTTCCAATAGGTTTCTACGTTTACACTGAAGCGAGTAGCATCCGACCAGCCAGCAAGGCATTTCTCCGGAGTGTCGTGTTCACACCACCGCCTGAAGAGACCTACAACCCAGCCTCACCACACTATCAAACTTGTAAAGTAAGACTACATACATCTCTATTTGATGGGAAGACTTGCCAGTAGATTGGCCCCTTTTTTAAGCACTCTCCAGTCAGCTACAAGGCTTTCCCGAATACCAACTTTGGTTCGGCCTCAAGCTTCATGATTTTAGGCCTGGTTTAGAGGGGCCCTGCTCACAATAGGTCCATTTTTCAAGTCCTTGAAAAGAGTTCAGACTTTAGCAGTGTTGTAGTCCTCGTACTCGGTACTCGTACTCGGATACTCGTACTCGAGTACTACTCGAGTACTTTTTTTGAAGTACTCATACTCTTACTCGAATGTCAAAGTACTCGTACTCGAAATGACTGTACTGTACTCGGGCAGCAAAGTACTCGTACTCGAATAGCAGTACTCGGGGGGGAAATGACATAGCTTGACTTTATACACCATGGCCTTATTTTATCGATACTTTTAGTATGAAATGGGTGATTGGCTTGTGGAGAAATCGAAGTTTCCTGATTTTCCTCTGTGCACGTCTGGACAAACACATTTAACAGCTAGCCATGATTGGGTCTGTATATCGGTCTGACTGGGCCTGGGCCAATTACGCACAATGAACCATTTGCCGTATGGCCGTATTCGGAATACATGTACTCGTACTCATACTCGGAACGGAAGTACATAACTCGTACTCGTACTCGGAAGTACCAGTACTCGTACTCGGAGACCTGTTCTTGTACTTGGAGGTACAAGTACTCGTACTCGGCAACCTAAGTACTCGGCAGTACTCGGTACTCGACTACAACACTGGACTTAGATTTGAAGGTTTTTAGAAATGATTCAGGAATCAGAGATGAAGCCGTGCGGCTGGAGGAAAAGCCAAGGTTTGGTAAATACCCTAGAATTAATGATTCCACTGCAGACCTGTTTTTTTAACCACCAGTCCTTAACATAGCTCCTTATGCATTTTTTTTTTTTGGCCCAGGTGCGATTCTACTATCACTTGTATGGCAGCAACATCGGACAGTTGAAGCTATACGCCATCATGAATACCAGTGAAACCAGCCGTCAGTTATTCAGTGAGTCCTATGAAAACAGCGACTTGTGGCAGGCCTATGATACCTACCTACCAGCCATCACAGAGAGGTATAGTGTTTGTGAGTTTTTGGATGATCTGGCATTGAATTTCTTAACTAGCTTGATTTCTTTTCCAGCTAGATATCCTACTGTTTGATGTGATCTGAGCTTGGGCGATTCCAGGTCAGAATCCAGGTGGAATTGGAATTGTAATTCCACTTTTTGGAGGAATCGATTCCCAGCAGTAACAATTCAGTTCTCCTAAGTGCCGATTCCAGACACTTGAAAACAAAATTGATGTCGATCGACACGTACATATTTGTGGCAAATTATCAATTTACAAGGTATCAGGAGTGATATTTGTCAGGATATTTCCTGATTTGAGGATTTTTCCTGATTACAGGATTTTTCCTAATTTCAGTATTTTTCCTGATTTCAGGATTTTTCCTAATTTCAGGATTTTTCCTGATTTCAGGATTTTTCCTGATTTCAGGATTTTTCCTGATTTGAGGATTTTTCCTGATTTCAGGATTTTTCCTAATTTCAGGATTTTACTGATTGCAGGATTTTTTCTGATTTCAGGATTTTTCTTGATTTCAGGATTTTTCCTAATTTCAGGATTTTACCTGATTTCAGGATTTTTCCTAATTTCAGGATTTTTCCGATTTCAGGATTTTTCCTGATTTCAGAATTTTTCTGATTTCAGATTTTTTACTGATTTCAGGATTTCAGGATTCAAGAATCCCTTATGAAATCTGGATTCCCTGAGGTTTTGCCGTAAAGGTGTTTTACCTACCGGTATGAAAGTTTCAGGACAAAAGAAATGGGTATTGTGAGGGGTGCCTTAAGGCAAACACAAACGCATACAATAAACCCTACATTGGGGGCCCTTGGCAGCCCTCAAACTCCTCTGCCGATTATTTCATTGATTTTTCATTTTCTCCCAATCTCACCCCTGAGATATACATGTAATGAAACTGTTTATAGTGATTCAGTACTGCATGTTATTTACAAGTGAAATTATGGAGGTCTTTCCTCACAGCTTTTTGGATGAGTAGAAATGGATTCAATTCCGAATGGAATCACGACTTCTTAATGGAATCAAAATTGACTCCAAAACTTTTGGAATCGCCCACGCCTAGTGTGAACACCTGTATTTTCATCGCAGCAGTGAAAAGTTTAGATATATTGTAATTACTGGCTTTTAGGACCTTTTGCGTGAGTTGGAACTACACGGCTGGTCAAAAAAGCATGAAATGCAGAGGGGCGAAAGCACATGGGAAAGGGGGAACATTGGTTTCGCCTTCTTCTACAAAACAATGAATTCCCCCCCCCCCTCCCCCCCCCCCACCCTTCCACCTTTGGAACCGCAAAGAAAAAAACAGGAAGTAGAGCAGACAGGGAAAGATATACTGTGCTCATACCTGCACCTGTACGTACGTGTCTAGTGTCTGCAACAAAAATGTGTAAATTCATTCATTTTAATTGTGGCAAACTCTTAATTTGAGACAACTTCACACACATAAACAAATCAATAAGCTATAATAAGAAATGATACTAAATGGATATATTAAACATGATAAAGGTATAAAATTGAAAGAATAAGATTAATTTAAAAAAAAGTTACATTATATGGTTAAAGCTATAGTCCATCATTTGCAACTATCCGAAAAGTGACTGACGTAATTATTGTTGAAAAACATACTTGGTTGAAAGAAAGTAAGGGGACTAAACTCCCTGTGAAATTATTCTTTCTGGCAAGCTGTCATTTTGAAGTAATCAACGAAAGAAGGCCTTTCCAACGGTGCGTCTTAAGATGCACCGTTGGAAATTTCCGTTAGTAGTTCTTTTTTTTTTATTCGGCGAAGCGCGCGCAAGCGTTGACACGACGCACACGCGCGCGTGGTTGCTATAATTCGTCAGATCAGTGCGCGACATCACGAAGCTGCAATCGGCTTAGTGAGAACGTGTCTCAGACGCTGAATTCAGGCCCAATTCAAAACATGATTCAGCGACTTTTGATTTGAAATTGAGATCCTAGAATGCTGTTTTTCTCAGAATATACAGCTGAAGCTTAGCTGAAACTTCATCATAATAGTTGTTCAGTACCCCTCTTTAGATTTTAAGCACTTTTGTTGCTTCAAACGAACAAAATGCACTAATTACAAATGATGGACTATACCTTTAAGATGCTCGTGAATGTTTGTAACCAGCATTGAATATCTTTTTGGTTATGGATTATCCAGTTATTATCTGCAGTTTGAGAGTACTCGTGCCTTTGGGAACTCAGGCGACATGGCACTAGATGACATTTCACTCAGTCGCCAGTGCTTCCAGCTGGATGACCTGACCTCAGCCACGATGACCCCTGACCCAACCACAGAGGTCAAGATGACTGCAACCCGCAGATCCAAATCTACAGAGCCGGGTAGGCTGACTTTGATGGGTTCATGAGGGGAACTGATTAACCCTAAAAGGGCCGGGGGGGGGGGGGGGGGGGCGGACCCCTCAACTTTTTCCGCGATAGCCTTGAATTATTTCTTTTCGTGACCCGAGCTGTTATGACTTTTCAGCCTCGAGCCTTGCGGACCACGGGTTGCCACGCAGGGAAAAATTTGCCCATATATGTAGTGTACACAGAGCAGAATTGCCATTCGCACATATGGAATGGCTGAGAGATGGTCAAAATAACCCAGCCCTTTTAGGGTTAAAGGATAATATAGATTATCAGGCAAAATCAAAGGAATTTGTATTGAAATAATACTGATCATCATTATCTCACTCGTTTTATTTTTGCTGTTGTCCCTCTTGTTCGTAAAAATGTAAAAGTTAGTTGGAAAAAGGAAGGTATCCTTAATTTTGACTAAGTTGTTTTTAATTAAACGAAAGACCTCTAACCTAATAACAGGGACAATGATCAATTATACAAAGAATTGAATAATATTTGGGCAGAAGTGTTTCAAGGGATACCTGTAGCATAAATGTCAACAATTTGGTTTATCGATGAATTGGACTGACAACTAAATAGTGAACCTGATGTCATACACGTTACAACTTTTCTTCAAATAAAATGAAACTTTCAGATAATTTGAAACAAGTGTTTTGGTATTATAGGTAGGTTTCCCCTGTAATTGTCTATTATGCTACATGTATATAGATCTTAAAATATTAATGAACAAAAACAAGTATTCAAAAAAAAAGCTTCCAAATGTCACGCACGTTACGGGACAATATCCCATAACAGGTATCATGATAGATTATACTCAAATATTAAACTGAAGTAATTGTCGTAATATATGCCCTAAACAGTAAGATGTGGTTCGAGGTGTAGCATAATTCTGAAAAGTCTAGTTTCTTATGTGAGGGAAATTCTTTTAATTCTTTTACTGAACCTGCTACTTCTTTGCTTCTTTATCCCTGCAGTGAGTCCTCTACCCACACTGCCATCAAGTGACCCCATGGTATTTCAGTTCAGCACATGTGGCAGCAAAGGCGAGGCAGGTCCCAACCAGGCACAGTGCAATGTGGCCTACCGCTACGAGAACGTGTCCGTCACGATAATAGATGGCATCCAGAAATGGGTAGTGCCCGTCACAAAAACATACAGGTGAGAATGTACCCTTTAAAGGTATAGTCCATCGTTTGTAATTTGTGCATTTTGTTCGTTTGAAGCAACAAAAGTGCACACAATCTAAGGAAGGGTGCTGAATAACTAACCAGATGAAGTTTCAGCTCAGCTTCAGCTGTCTTTTACGAGGAAAACAGCATTCTAGGAACTCGATTTCAAATCAAAAGTTGCTGAATCATGTTTTGGATTGAGCCTGAATTCAGTGTCCGAGACACGTTCTTCATTGAGCTGAGTGCAGCTACGCGATGTCACGCACTGATCCGACGAATTATAGCAACCCCGCGAGCGTGTGAGTCATGTCAACGCTTGCGCGCTTCGCCAAATAAAAAACCGAACTACTAAACGGAAAATTCCAACGGTGCGTCTTTAGACGCACCATTGAAAAGGCCTTCTTTCGTTGATTTCTTCAAAATGAAAGCGTGCCGGAAAGAATAATTTTACAGAGAGTTTAGTTCCCTTACCATCTTTCAACCAAGTATGTTTTTGGATAGCTGCAAATGATGGACTGTAGCTTTAAGGAGACATTTTCTCGTCAGAAGTTGAACCTTAAGGAGACAAGGTAGATTAAGGAGACATTTCAGTGTCTCCCTGATGTCTATTTAGAGGCAAAATGTTACAGTCTCTAGTAGGCTAGATTGATTGTTCCTGGTCCAAAACATAAATGTACAAAAATTTGTTGGGTAGGATAAAGTAAAATGGGGATTAGGGGTCATGAAAGCTTGAACAATTTTGTGCACAACCCTATGAGAATGTCTCCCTAAAGTACCATTCTCTGTAATAATAAGACCCTTTAATAATAGCAATACTCATGTCAATAAAAATGTATTTATATGTTAGTGTTGCAAACCTTAGTTGTGGCTGATTACTTTGTGAACAGTTTCTGTACAAAGTATGAAGAAATAAACAGTAACATTTAAAAAAACAAAAAAACATCAGTACTTAGGACATTTTCTTAAAGATACTTTAGCCATCTTTGATTTGTTTTTAGCGTTTTAGCAGGAGGTGCAGATAAGATTAGCATAAATTACACAATTTTCAGTGGTTCATCAAAGATCGTTGTAATTATGAAAAAAATAAATGACTTTTGCCTGATGCAGTGCTCCTTAACAGAAAAATACTACGGAACTGCATTGGATGGTAAGCAAAATATTGCTGTAATCCAATTCGGGCAATTCACAATGCAGTGCACCACCAAGAGTTTGCCATGGAGAGTTCATTTTTCCCAGTGCATTGTGGGAGATGGTCAACAAATTCACAGCGCGGGACATTTGAAATTGTTAGTTTTTCCGTTCAGTAGTTTCGTAAGTGTATGATTTGAGTATCTGTTTGCCCTTTTCTTAGCTTTTTATCAATACTGTGTTTTTTGTAAGGCAGCAGAACACTATGCCCCAATCTACTACAAATAAGCTCAAGTTGTCTACTGACACTCATTCAAATGTCAACTGTAAACTTGAAAAATGGACTGTTCATGGCAAACTCTTGGTGGCGCACTGCATTGTGAATCGCCCGAATTGAAGGAAATGTTTGTACAACTCATTTAAACTGGTAACCCCCATTTTTGGGTGGGGTTGTAATTCATTGTAGTTTTCCATCACTACCACTGAATCCAACCTCTTTTCTGTCCATCTGGTACAGCATGCAAATCAAAGGAGCTGGTGGGGGTACCGGTGTGGAGAATACCAGCCCGTCCCGCGGAGCTGAGATGGAAGCCAGTTTTAATCTGACCGCTGGGGATCAGCTCTTCATTTTAGTCGGTCAGGCAGGAGAAGACGCTTGCGACAATGGAGGAGAGGTCAGTGAAAGGGGAGACTTGGGATCATTTATCTCATTAAAATATTGCCTGAAGATACTTCTCGATAGTACTGGCACTGTAACTGCATTGTTTATTTCACGTCCTGTTTTTTTCTAAAGCTCACCATTTTAACATCCTACACATACTTTAATTACAGACTGATTTTGGTCAGAGTGGCATATGCAATGGTGATGTGACAGATGAGAACAGGCAGCGGTTTGGGGTGGGAGGCAACCTAGCTGGAGGAGGGGGAGGGGGCGGTGGTGGATCATTCATTGCTAAGGTGAGTGTGGTGGGGGGTCCATTGTGTAACTTATGGACATCAAAATTATTGACATCATAATGTAAGAGTCTTTACAGAGCCATTTCTGAAACATAACAATTAATAAACAAACTCAAAATCTATAGGATGAGGTTTACAGGTACAGATACAGGCAATAAAATTGTATTTTCCTTGAAACCTTAAAGGGAATGTACAACATTTGCTTGTGCTGCAATTTGCAGAAATAAATGGATTTGGAGGATTAGTATGTTATAGCAAATATTGTTAAACTGACTTGTTTCACGTTTTGGGCTTGTAGATGCTGGAAAAACCAAGAAAACCAATCATGTACTTGTAGTCTGGTTCCCTGACACCACTTAAGATGAAACAGGGCAATTTATAGACTTTGGGGAAGTGTAAGGTCAGAGAATCAGTCTAGCAGGCTTGTACCCCTTCACTGGTGTGTAATCAGATGCAAAGAAAATGTGGAATAACTACATATGAACAATTGGGAGCAGATTTTTAAAAAAAGCCAGTTTTTTCCAACGCTGGTCGGCCCACCAGCCTTGGAAAAATATAATTTTTCTTAAAAATATCAGGAGCCACAAATTTACAGGATGCAATAGACTGTCATTCCCTAACAATCCAGAAAAGTATTACGTGATAATTTGATCATTTTGTTTTTTGATGTTCGCAAATGTTGTATCTTCCCTTTAAGTTGTTATATCCAGCTAAAGGCTGGTTCATACTACAGGCATATACGAATACGATGCGAATTTGAGGTCAATGAACATTCGCTGGGAAATTCACCGGAGTTGAAATGTATTTAACTTTTGTGAATTTGCAGTGCGAAAACTTGACCTGACGTCACAAATTCACATTCGCGTTCACGCAGAGTATGAACCAGCCTTGAGCCAGGATAATTGTACACTATTTTATTTTATGATTTTGACATTTGTTGGGAGAAAATATTCACAGGGTAAGTGTGTAAAACATTCAAGCTATGTTGTAGAAGTACACTTTCCATACGTCATATTCATAGTGTGTTGAATAAAATCCCTCTTCGAGAACCCCGCATAGCTACAATTGATTTTAGCCACACGATGCCTCATAGATGTAGGTCCTACAAAGAACCGTTCATGAAATTTACTGTGACCTCAGTATCGTGACACATATTGTATAATGAAAAAGTAGGATTGTTATTTTTCCCCCAATTTTCTTTCCTAGTTTGATGAGACTACCATGGAGTATGTTCCCCTGTTGATAGCTGGAGGTGGAGGGGGTCTAGCTTTCAGCCCTAGTCAGACCATGGTTGGTGTCCATGGGTCAGTAGACACACCTGGACCTGGGCTGTCTGGTACCCAAGGAGCAACCAATGACGTCTCTGGTAACTGCCTTCCTGTGTTTCTTAGAGAACTGCTTAGCAGCCAAAATGGGGAGATGTAGAGTTCACTTTCTTTTAACAGCAGGGTAGGGGTGGGGACTTAATAATTTGTATTTCTTGACGCTGATAAAAGTTGTGCCGTAGTTGAATACCGTGGTAGGTAAATAGAATTTCTGTAAATGAAACCAAAAGAATTGATAACATTGTAATTTGACTAGTCCAAAGAAAAAGTTGAAAAGAAGCTTAGACAGTGAAGGAAATATGTAGGTAGCTATTAGGGGGATGAAACCCCAGACAGATTTTTCGGATGAAAAATCGAAAGAATCACGTCTAATCTTAAAGCTTATTCCACTTATCAATACATTTCAAACCTGGCTCATAAATGTTCGAGGTTAAGGAGAGCACCACTGTATCACACAGGATATTTCATTCACTGAAACTTCAAGCACAGCAGAATGAAATATCAGTTTTTAACAGATGCAATGTTAAACAGTACCAGGCACTCAACCCTAACTCCCCACACATTTTTGCTTGGAACCTTCCTGAACTCTCCAAAATGCTCCACCACATACAAACCTGTGACAACGTATTGTAAATTCTTAATACTTATGTTCAAAGGGCATAAATACCCCCTTCACTTAATTTTCCAAATTCTCCACAAGCCCATTATGGATTGGTTTTAAGAGTCTTGGAAGGTTTGTGTTACTACAGCAAGACAAATTCAAAACAGCAATAACATGAAAGTAACTTTTGAATGTGACTTTAATTCTTAGTGTGGGGAGCCCCTTGCACACAGAGATGCCAACCATTGCTCTTTTGGAGTAATTATTAGGATTTTGAGGCATGTAACTACTCTTGAAATTTCCAGCTGTCCTATACGCCAACATTGTGGTTACTCTGAAGAGTACTGTGGTTACTCTTAAACTTGACTGTTGTCCTATGTATTTACATTAGCATTACTTTTTGCAGGAAGAATCATTACTATTTTGTAGTCTGTAAAGTTAGCATTAATCTTTGCAGGAAGAATCATTACTATTTTGTAGTCTGTAAAGTTAGCATTAATCTTTGCAGGAAGAATCATTACTATTTTGTAGTCTGTAAAGTTAGCATTAATCTTTGCAGGAAGAATCATTACTATTTTGTAGTCTGTAAAGTTAGCATTAATCTTTGCAGGAAGAATCATTACTATTTTGTAGTCTGTAAAGTTAGCATTAATCTTTGCAGGAAGAATCATTACTATTTTGTAGTCTGTAAAGTTGGCATCTCTGTGCACATTCTCCAGTTTCCTAGCCATTGCCTCAAATGTCACACTTGCTTGTTTAAAATCCTTCCTCAGGGGCAGGGGGAGGTTGGAACAGCACAGGGAGCAACATGACCCAAGTCAGCGGCAGGGCCTTCCTTCAAGGAGGCCGGGGTGGCATCGAGTGTTCACTGGCTCATCTGGAAGCAGACTGGCGAACCCATGGAGGGTTTGGCGGAGGGGGAGGGGGATGCACGACGGGCGGTGGGGGAGGCGGCTACACAGGTAAGTGTGTAACAGAAATGGGGTATTGACTCTGTGGCAGAACTGTGGATGCAGTGTCAGAGATGAGTCCGTATTCAAGTCCAACAAGTGTACTGACATATATGTATAAGCGTTTTTGTCTTTGAGAAGGTCCTGCTCAGGATGGAAATGTGAGGCCCACTTTTTTTGTTGATTTGAAATTTGATGTGATTCATTAGGTATGCATGGGTAGCTCGTGCGTAAAGCGCTCGCCTCTCACCAAGGTGACCACGGTTCGAATCCTGGCCGCGGATCACATGTGAGTAGAGTTGTGCGTTGGTTCTCTCCTGTGCCACGAGGGTTTTTCTCCGGGCCCTCCGGTTTTCCTCTCTGGAAAAATCAAACACTTTCGATCTCAGGCTGTGCTCCGTGGTCATATATGGGTCGATGTGGCCGGCAGCCATAGGCGCCTTTACGTGCCAGCCAGCCCGACCACGTTGTAGCCGTGTCCTTCGCAATTCAGCATCCCAGCTGCGAGTAAGGATGATTAGCCTTCCAAAAATTATTTTAAAAGGTCTCGCAGCGAAATCTTTAAACCCTATAAAACCTATAAGAACCTAATTTTCAAGTTGGAAACCTAAAATCAGTCTGACCCACTGTTTAGTTAGCATAATACCACAATAACCACATTCAAGGGCAGATCCAGAGAGGTTAGTGCCTGGGGGCTGAGGCTGTGCCTATGGGCTCCGTGCACGAACAAAGAGGGCGCCCTCTTACCTAGCAACGATGTCCCATGCGCGGGACATTTCGCTGGTTGACGCGCACCGTTCCTTGTGTGTGACGCACGTACACCAGGGGATTTGTACTATGTACACACAGTGGCCGCGCTTTGCGCTTCTCGGCAAAATTGCAGTCAGGCAAGATGGCGTTGGTCGGCCACCCCCAACTGTACTTTCTTTGCCAGTGAGGGGGTACTTGTGAACGGAGCGGATAAATGCCTATATTTTTGCAAACTAAAACATATTGACTGCATTGTTGGTGTTACAGGTGGAGATGCCTCACTGATCAAGGATCTGTATGGAAGTGGTCAGGGAGGAACATCCTATGTGCATCCATCTGGCTTTAGTATCAAGAAGGTGGCAGGTAAAGTGACTTTTTAGTGACATGTTGCTGTACACTGATACTGCTTTCTGCTTTCTTGGAATTTCAGTTTTGAAGTCTTTCTTCTCAAGCTATGAGACTTAACAAGTTTCTGTGTATTTTGTAAAATGTTGAGGGCCTGACATTTGAATGTTAACAGAATTTGTCACCAATACCATTTGAAAAGAATCTGTTGGGATCGCAAAACATGGCCGTCTAACTTGAACAATTTGTATATTTCAAGTCAGACCAGTCAGTAGGCTTAAATAAACCTTGAAGTGATTTAAATGCACACCGGATCATTTCTTTATGCATTTTGTTCATTTCCAATAATGACACCACACAAAATCTGAAGAGAATGTTAAAAAAAAACATGTTTAGGTATCAGCTCAGTGTATATTACACTTTTCAAGAAAACAGTGAAAAACCATGCACAACCTTTTGATTATGAAACATGATTTTGTCCATAGCACTCTTTATTCCAAAAAACATTCAATTGACTGATCATTTGAAATCACCTACATTTCTTGATTTCATCTAATTGCCAAAGGGAATATTTTTTATGGGGACTAGTGCCAGTAGAATCGTTAATCCAAGTAATTTTTTGATAGTAGTTTGGTACGTTACTTTTGGGACAAATGCAAATGATACAATGTGCCTTTAAATACCACATTAATTATGAACCAGTCATAGTGACTAATATTTCATTACTATCCCCAAAACAACATTGTCTTTCCTTTGGTTTCTTTTTCCCCTGTAGGAGCAAACGTGGGAGCCGGGGAGGTTGTGATCACAGCACTCCTCACCTGTCCAGCTGGGACGAGGCTTGGTGAAGAAAAGAAAACTTGCATTAGTAAGTTATAAATACTGCAGTATCAAAAGGGATATTTTTGAGACTTTATCCGATCTTGATAAAAGAAATAAATTAAAAAAAGTTACCTTGGACTGCCTTTGTGGTTGAATATGTAGTACAATTTATAGTTTTTGGCCACCTCTAAAAACACGTCTGTTGCGTTTTTTCATCTGATCAAAGGTCAGCAAGGGCAGATCCAGAACACAATTTTTTGGGGGGGGGGGGGGGGGCAAGGAAACAAATTTGGATTCTAGATGCTCTGTGGTGCGATCTGAGGCAATTTCTGACCACTTTGACCAATTTTTTTTGGGGGGGGGGGGGGGGGAGATGGTTGTGTACGCAGTGCCTGCCTTTATTGCGACGTCACTTTTAAAAAAATAACCCCCGTTGCAACCAACCACCCCCCCCCCCCCCGATCCGCCCTTGAAACTCAGCATGATGGAACTAAAAAAAGAAGGCATGTTATTCTTCACAAAAAAATTACTAATAATAAGATTTCTCTCTTTCCAGATATTCTCCCAGATGGTCCATCAGCTGCCATCATTGTGGGCAGTATTGTGCCAGTGGTCATCATAATCCCCTGCATAATTGTAGTCTTCATAATTGGTAAGTTTGACACGGTGATGTACAGGGGTGTGAAATCTCAGCTTTAAAGCTGATTTCAGCTTTTTTTGTGTTGGATTTCAGCTTTTTTTTCAGCTTTTTCCCTCACTTGCTGTGTACAAAAGTATAGGAGATTTCCAAAGTTCAGCTTTTTTACACCTTTTTCAGCTGTTTTCAGCTATTTTTTATCAGTGGTCACTCACACCCCTGGATGTAGTTGAAGCCAGGGAGGTAGCATGACCGATTTGATTGGGGGTGTGATAACCAATTTGCCGACTGTCACTCCATGCTGGAAGGTAGCCAGGAATTTTTGCCCATCAGCAGAGTGTCGCAAAATCAAAATGTTAGGGGGTGGGGAGCTGACTACCGTCTGACTAATGGAGGCGCCGTTACGAAGCAGGCAATCTTGGACACCGTTGGACAATAGGTGGCCCCCTTCGTTGCGGCATATTTGCTAATAGACACACAATTTTCCAACGACGTTTTGGCCCAAACCCCCCCCCAAAAAAAAAATTAATGAGGGATATTACACCCCCACAACCCTCGTCTACAGGCATGCAACTTTTCCTCGGATCAGCTGATTTCCTTGTTTTTCACTCCACACTTATGCCATGAAAAATTGGAAAACACTGTACAAAGTCTTGTAAAGATTGGAGTTTCCTTTTGGGGGGGGGGTTACTTCAGAGTTGCATGCCTGCGTCTAGCATCGCCTTGTCTAGCATTGCCGACTGATGCTCTAAATGCCAATTGAGACAAATTATTGGGGGGTGTCACACAAAAAAGGCGATTTTGGGGGTTGTATTTAAACATGCAAGTTGCACATTTCTCAATAGGAACATATAGAATTTGTTGAAGAGCACAGGGAGCACAACTGGAACTATAAGGATATTACTGTGATGATAACCAACAAGATTCATCAAAATTAGTGCAAAACCATGGTATAGTTTAAAGACCTCCCTCTCCCCGTTCATACCCCCCTCATACCCCCCTTCAAATAAAAAACCCAAACCTTATTGATTTTTGTAGTCAAGGCACTTGTGATCGATCACAAGTCAATCACAAAACATGAAGTCCCAAGTCAACTCACAAGTGAACAGTGACAAAGGAATTCATTTGTTAACACTCATCATTTGATGCTTGTGACCAGACAAGTACACGTACACATAATTCGACTTCATTCGCTCTTTTCACACTTCCGCCATGGGCATGCACAGCCTCAATCTGGCAACTTGACACAATAAATACAGCCGGTTCAGAGATTCCTGTGTCGGGGTTTAGATCACTGAACCGGCTATTTTTATTGCGTAAAGTTGCCAGATCGAGGCTCTGAATGCCCAATGGCGGAGTGTGAAAAAAGCGAATACTGGTAATTGAATTAACATTTTTGTTCTCAAAGCTTACCATCGTAAGAAGAGGAAAGATCGGGAGGCCACAGAGAGGTTACCAACCGAATCAGCAGACTACCAGCTGAATCAGCTGAGACACAATGCAGCAATGGACTTCAACCCCTGTTACCAGCTGGGGGATGGGGCAGTCACTGTGAAGGATCTGAAGGAGGTGCCTAGGGAGAATTTGAAATTGATCAGGTAAAAACCGATGGCATTAACAAGGGAATATTCACCTTAACCCTTTAAACCCCTCGCACCATGATGTGTGAACAATTATATTAAACTTTGAAGATTCGGGTCTTTATACAGCTAATGGCTAAATACAGCTGTACATTCCGAGAAAACAATATTCTAGGATCTCAATTTCAATTCCAAAGTTGCCAAGTCGTGTTTTGAATTGCGCCTGAAATCAACGTCCGGGACACGTTCTCATTCAGTCTATTGCAGCTATGTGATGTCACACACTGAACCGATGAATTTTAGCAATCGTGTGCGTCGTGTCGACGCTTGCACGCACCCATTCATGGTTTTGCTGAATTAAAAACAAACGGAAATTTCCCAAAATGCATCTTTGGAAATGACCTTCTTTTTTTCAAAATGACAGCATGCCAGAAAGAATAATTTCACAGGGAGTTTAGTGCCATTACTATCTTCAAACCAAGTATGCTTTTCAACAATAATTTTGTCTGTTACTTTTTGGATAGCTGCAAATGATATACTCTAACTTGAAATGATGCCATTAGATGCAGTCAGTTTGACTTTGACCTTGTTCCAAAGTAAATTTTGCTATTCCGATTTTACATTTCTGAAGGAAAGTAATACTTGTTCTCATACATGTATACAGAGCCTTGGGTCAGGGAGCCTTTGGTGAGGTATACCATGGCCATTTCCAGCCTTCTGATGAGAAAGAACCATTTGATGTAGCAGTTAAGGTAAGCTCAACATACGATTTTAATAGTCAGCAACTTCTTAAGAATAAAACTTTGAAAAAGCATGGTTGAAGACCGATGTGAACCAATTACTGTAACGAGGTTAAATCAAGAAAGTTTTTGAGAGAATTATTCATTGTGCGTTGTTGATTTTGATGTGACATTTGAAACCGTTTGTCAGAAAATATAAAATATGAATGAATGGCTCAGTTGGTAGGTTCAAATGTCACCTTGGTCAATGACTATGCTCTATCATTTGTTGATTCAGAAAAGTCACAAAAGTTTAGAAATTGTTATCTTGCTTTTTCTGAATATCCGAAAGCCATTTGTATGCATGTATATCCTTTTCCCCAAGCTCTCATTGAACAAAATAATTATATGTAAATTGCATGTTGGGGAAAAAATTATTGCTAGTTTCGTGGTAAACAATTTTAAGTTTACCAGGAATATCATCTACTTTCTTCAACCCTTTCCCCCTCCAGTGAGGGAATGTGGCCTAGTGGTTAGGGTTCATGACTCATGATCAGAGGGTCAGGGGTTCAAATCCAGCTGCTGGTCATATGTTGTGTCCTTGGGCAAGCTGCTTGACCCCCACTTGCCTCTCTCCACCCAGGAGTATAAATGTGTACTGGCTTGAGCTGGGGAGTAACCTGCGATGGACTAGCATCCCTTCCAGGGGGAATAAAAATATTCTGAGTCACTAATTTGCCACCAGGCCAGCGTTTATCTCCGGTTTCAGTGGCATGAAACATGCCACTGAAACCGGAGATAAACGCTGGCCTGGTGGCAAATTGTTTTTTTCCCAAACGACATCCGTTTCCCATCTTCTGATTGGTCCATTACATGCATATCTAATGCCTTGTTCTCCACAACACAAACCAAAGATAGGCATCTTGTGAGAAATGTACTTCCTCACTTAAGTTATTTAAAAGGTAAAATGAGAAGAAGTGAAAAACGCTCACTGGGATTCAAACTCGGATCACCTGATTAGAAGTCAGGACTACTTCCAACCAGTCCACGAATCAGCTGCCAAACGTCGGTGATTTAAACACCATTATTCCTTGTTATATAACTTATTCTCTAAAGCCCTGGACATCATGAATATGCAAAGCGCAGAGAGAGAGCACCCTCTTTTGATATTGTCGGATCTCGTTTGGGAAAAATAATTCGCGGCCTGGTGGTCCAAATCGGCTCGTGAGAGACTTACTTTACTTACTTTCCCCCTCCCCAGACTTTACCTGAGAGAAGTACCAAGCAAGACGAGTCAGACTTCCTAATGGAGGCTCTGATCATGGGCAACTTTGACCACGCCAACATTGTCTCTCTGAAGGGAGTTTGCTTCACTCAGGCCCCACGCTTCATCCTGCTGGAATTCATGGCCGGCGGGGAACTCAAGCAGTTTCTGAGGGACTCACGACCCAGAAAGGTAAAGTAGATGGATTGTTATATCATAGTTGGATATATGGCTGCATGGGTTCGAACCCTGCCAGGAACTTAGCGTTTGTGCCCTTGGGCAAAACAGTTGCCTACAATTGCCTCTCTCCACCCAGGAGTATGAATGGGTACCTTAGAAGGTAGAGGACCCAATGTACCTTGATATCGGCTGCCGCGTGGTCTCGTGGCCTGATGAACGGGGGAATAATTTTAAAGCGCTTTTAGATCGTTTATTCAATGGAAAGCGCTGTATCAGCATTACAAATTTTGTTTTGATTTATGTTAATAGGCGTCCTCTCTTGTTCTACTTGTGCTACCTGTTGAAAGCAGCTCTCTGTAATTCAGCCCTGGTTCAATATCTGTTATTTTTTTTGTTCTTGGCACAGGGCCAGCCGTCACGGCTAGACATGTCTGACTTGTTGATGGCCGCCCATGACGTGACCAAAGGCTGTGAGTACCTGGAGTCTCAACGCTTCATCCACAGAGACATCGCTGCCAGGAACGTCTTACTCAGCAGCAAGGAGAAAGGCCGCACGGCTAAGATTGGGGACTTTGGAATGGCCAGGGACATCTACAGGTAGTGTATTTAGGTCACCAAGAAATGCCAGTGCCGTTACCAAGAAAAATAGAAATAAAAAATGGTAGAGGAAGAGATTTGGTGTGGGTAGGGATCTTTCAGCTACAACCCTCTTTGGACTTTGTTTAAAAGGCCCCAATTAATGTAACTTTTTAAATGGTTCCTTGAAAATGCACCTTTGTGTCCTATTTAAGCTTTTTTTTTTCAATTTAATTTTGACATTTTAAGGGTATTTTGGATCCTTTTTGGCTTTTATGCTCATGCGAATTTCCTTATCCATATGAGCAAAAGTGTGATGTCATTTTAGGAAGAAACTTGTTACAGCTATTTGAGCACCAAATGTTACCAGAATTTTCAAAATTTTTCTGTCGTGAATTTTCTATTCTTTGGTGATTCGTTGTTGTATCAGTACATGACAGTGCCGGTATGAGCAAAACTTTTCTCACAAGTGTTTTGAATGAGCAAATTTTTGGGTTCACAATTTGAACAGAAAACCCCGAAACTGATCAGTGTCTTCCTGAAATGACACCACGGCAACTGCACCCTTATTCTGAATATGCTCAAACTTGTAGCATCCTGGCACCATTGGCAATGCCTACAAGAGTCCCTCTCCGTATTTCCTCCAATCTTTCTTTCTTTGTAAATGTTGAGGTGTAGGCACTGCATCCATATTCACTCTTAACACTTAATACTTTCATTCTTCATCTGGTTTCAGAGCTGACTACTACAGGAAGGGAGGTCAGGCTATGCTGCCTGTCAAGTGGATGCCACCTGAAGCCTTCCTAGATGGAATCTTCACCTCCAAAACAGATGTCTGGTAAGGCCCCCCCCCCCCCCCCAAATCAGACCATTCTTGTACCTATTTCAAAGTACCAAATAACCATCCGGTTTCCCTGTCAGGCCTTGCGCTAACTTTTTTTCCTGGCTAGCCCACTGGGCTATTTAACTGGATATTTTACTAGCCCGTTTAGAGTTTTACTAGCCCGTATATAAAAAATAAGAAAACCCCAAAATTTATTATCAGCTTACCAGTGAAGAATTTGACATTACGTTTGGCAAAAATCGCCACATTTTGCTTGCTTTAGACCTCCGAATGTGCGCGGTGAACGAGAAAAACCTTTTTTTAATCAAAGAGGGCGCTGTTTGCACACGGCTTTGTGTAGACTTCGTATCAAACGCTTTCAAGTACTCCTGCAACTCCCAGTACAGCTAGCTGTGGCCAGTCAAGGTTAGAAAACTTGATAAACGATGTGAACGAGAATAGTGTGCACGTGCGGTACCGCGCCATACTGTGTGCTATGAACCCACCAGTCTACTCTGTTCGTGGCATTCGCGCGAGTATCACGTTTCGAAAACACAAATAAAAACATCCACAACGACTCAGTTTTTGCGATCATGTTTTTATTATCACCGAAAGCATTATATAGTTTGATCAAAATTTTAACAGGTAGGTTTAATACTGAATTTTTTACTAGCCCACCGGGCAACCAAGGATCCAAGTTTAGGTAGCCCGGAGCATTTTTCGTTAGAATTTGTACGCCGGGCTAGTACTATTTCGAGGCCTGCCTGTGATCAGCTTCCATTGTAGTAGGCAAGCGTTTAGTTAGCAATGACATTGTGCATTGTGAACTAGACCGCAGGGCTTATTTTCACGTAAAATAACCGCAAATTCTTTATCAAACGACATAATGGTCACTACCGGTGTCGGTTTTTTTCTTCAGTGTTTGCTATCCATCACAGCTTTGAAGGCTTGCCTACTACCTGCTGTGCAGTGCTCTATACGAACCTTGCATACTACTGTATGATGACGCTGACTTTCCGGTAGCCGGATGTAGGCTGGGTCGTGAAAGAGCACATTGGCTTGGGCGCTGTTTGTGTTGTATACAATCCACTCATACCCACATGCTCGTATTGTCTTCACAATTTCCTGACCTTTGTTTGCCCTTTTTGGTTTTATTTCTTTGGTCAGGTCGTTTGGAGTGTTACTATGGGAGATCATGTCTCTTGGTTACATGCCGTATCCAGGTATGAGTAATCAGGAGGTCATATACTTCACCACGCAAGGGCAGAGGATGAACGCTCCCCGCAACTGCCCAAGACCAATGTAAGACTTCTTAAGAAGCTTAACACCCCCAGGCAAATTGGTTAGGAACCTTCCTGAATCCTTCACAATCCTGGGGTTTTGTTTCAGGCAACCTGTGTCACCTTCTCTGTACTCACACTGTTTTGGGGCATCAGGTTCCGGAAGCAATTTGGCTGTACCTCTCTTAATCCTGCAAAATTCTCCAAAACCTCCTCTTGGATTTTGGTGGATGTGGGTGGGTTAGGGTTAAGATCAGATGGGATATTTCATCATAACATTGTCAGTTATTGTTGGTTAACCTCATTTGTCATCACAAGACTTCCTTCTGCTCAAAAGATAAGTTTTGTCTCAGTCAAGATTTCTGAAACACTTTCACACGTTTAGAAATTTCAAAAACTTAAGAATTCCTTAAAGTGATTCTTATGGCTGAAGCTCTACCCCAAAACAGCAGTGAAAATCTTCAGACTGTTGTTAGTGTTTCAGTTCCCTTTTTTTACAGGCATGCAACTTATCCTCGGATCTGCTGATTTCCTCGTTTTTGCTTCTCAAGAGTGCCACTACAACTTGAAAAATACTGTACAAAATCTTGAGTGGTTTGGTTTTCCTCGCTTTTTTTCTAAATTCCCAGTTGCATGCCTGTTTTTAGCTCATTCTTTTAGTACATCTTTTAAAATCCAAAACAAATTTTGAAAAATCTGCTTCTGTAACCTGATGAAAAACTAAGCTCTTGAGAGCTGCGTGTACTGCGATTCCTGGCCAAAATTACTCAGTGCAGGATTTATGAATGAATTGTGTAGATAATATAAACCAATGGTTTCCGTCCTATTTTTTTTATTAACAGACAAGATCTGATGTATCAGTGTTGGCATCAGGACCCAGATGAGAGACCCAACTTCTCCACCATCCTGCACTTCCTTTCAAATTGTTTGCAGGTATGAGCCAGCACCATTCACTTTTTTTGTTTCTGGTTGGTCTTTGTCTGTTTTCCAAGTTTACATCTGCTACATCAGGATTCATTAGCCAGCGGACCCCCTGCAAGCTCGGAGGCTTAGTGTTGAAGACGTCCCCGCTCCTAAGTAGGAGGGTGTCAGTTCATATCCATCCTGAGCATGCTTGTGAATTTGTTCTCTCACAGACTCAGACAGCTTTGAGTATAAAGTGCTTACAGAAATTACGTCAGTGAAGGCCACAATCCAATATTGAAATAACAACTTCTGCTAATTATTTGGGGCCAGGTTACAATCATACATCGTTATGGACCCTGTGCATATGTATCCCTTCAATGGAAACAGAGTAACAAGAATATGAAAGATACTCGAACAAAACTAATAAATGAGACAATAACAAGTGATGAACAAAAACAAAATATGGAACGATTTTCAATATTGAGTTTTGCCCTTCACCAATGTAATGGAGTACTAATTTTCTTGGTTTACCACTGCAGGATACAAGCATCCTGGACGCACCCCTTCCCCAGGAACTGCTTGATGATGACAGAGCACCGGCAGTAATCAGGCCGCGTAACTCCAAGAACTCCCCTGTCCTTCAAGTACATGGATCCGGCAGCCAGTCCTTTGGTGCAGCGGCGGCCCATACCACTGTCAGCCAGGGGGTGGTCGGCGCAGCGGACGATGATGAGTATTTGACGCCTGATTGGATCCCGGGAGGACGAATGAAAGAGCATCTCATACTGGAGGATGGGAACATCAACAATTCAGGGGATGTCTTGGAAGCCTGCGCGAGGGCGCCCGTTGAAGAACTGAACCATGAATCAGTCAGCAAACTGAAAAACAGACGCAAGCGTACGGGGAGCGGTCATAAGGGACCCAGACCAGACTCGGACACTTCGTTTGACCCACCAATCAATCAGGATAAATGTGCCACCGAAGCCACAGACCTCCTAGACCGAGGGGAGGATGACATGGCTGAGACATCGTTCACAAGATCTGCAACGCCAAGAAACTCTTCCAAGGTGCCTCCTCTTGATTTCAGTAAGCTAACCAAACAGTCCTCACACGATTCCACACCAGAGGGGGCGTTCCACTCAAAAAATGATAACACGTCCTGCCGGCAATTGACAAGAGAATCAACATCGAGAAACTCGGGTAGGGCAGCTGCGCAGCTGTCGCTGGAGGACTCTCAACAAGGAGACTTTGATACCTCTCAGGATCTTTGCAGAAGCAGCAGGGCTGAACCTCAGGCAACGGAACCTGACAGGGGCTCTGCCACAACAAACAGCCCCAGAACCGCAGACGAGACACATTCAACCTCTTTCTCCCCGCGAATCCTCAACCGGTTTCGGATGCCCGTCTTCTCTCGCCACAGTAGTCTCGAGGTCCCCAACACCTCCGCGTCCTCGTCTCAGATGATGCCCAACAACTCTCTGCCGATGCTGAGCAGGATGCAGAGTTTACCGGTCAACCCCAACCCGTACACCATGACGGATCTCTCCAGCCAGCCTGGGCTAGCCAGAAGCACACCCGACACCAGTAACGTCATCATCGGCAGCAACAGCAGCAGCAGCATCAATGATGCCGCCAACAGGAGAGTCTTGTTCAATTCCACGTCGGGTCACGTTGTGTTTGAAGATGAGGAGATTAACGGTGAGGTCGTTTGAATTGCCAAGATACATCATGTTTTTGGGACGTTTGTCAATCAACTTTTGATTGCACGGGTAAAGTCTAGAATACACAGTCAAGCTTGACAATAAAAAAAACAACTTTAAAAGTATTATTACCTTCAAAGGATTTTTTTTAGGGGGGGGGGGTGCATCACACACCTTTGGATCCCTGTTATCTTGGCATTTTGTAATTGTGGATTTTGTGGACAATATATGACCAGAACCTCAAGAATAAAACCAAAACAGTTTGAATTTAATAACAGATGGTCAGCTGTATCTTTTTTTTTATGAAATATTAATAATATTCAATATACAAAAACAGAAAAGTATAACAATCTTCAAAGGATTATTTTGAGTTCTTTTTGAGCATCACGCCGTGCCGTGAATCCTCTTTTACCAGGACACCCGAGTATAGACCTTATATTCGGGTATTGGCACAAAGTCGTAACAGGATTTCAGCTCTCTCTTTCACTGGATTAATGCCTGCCACCAGCAGGGAACAATTAGTATCACTTGACTGAACGACTTGTTTGGCGGGCCTGAATCATTCTTCAGTGGCCACACGTGGATCAATCATAAATTTAATATCCAACGTAATATTTGTTTTTGTCCAGTAATGAAACCACGTTTTCTGTTTTTGATTGTTAAATTGATGCACAGACAATGAAAATCCAGAAATTATCGGATCGTAAGTGTGGCCCCTGCGGCGCACAATATACGTTCACGCAGTGTGAACTGCAGAGTGCGAGTGTACGAATGCCTATGGCCTCCTGTGGCGTAACTAATTGCCTTAAGAGATTTACCAGATAAAGTCACACTGGGCTCAGTCAAAGATAAGCAGTGAAATCCTGGTATTAAAAAGGGCCCAGGCTTTTAAATGGGAAAATCACCTCATGACATTTGGATGGCCTTCACATGTATCTACGCATTTTCTAGTCGTCAATGTTGTGGATGATATAATACCAGAACCTTAAGAATAATATTTAAATTGTGAATTTGATGACAAATGGCAGCTGTATCGTTTCTATGACATATATATACAGTATCAAAGTTTTAACAGCATTATATTTATCCATTAACCATGACAGATTTCATCTGTAAAATTTCAACTAGTTTACCATAGATATAGTTGGTATTTGAATGTGACTATTTTTGAAAAAGTGGAAATTGTTCAGGGATCAATTATAAAAGTATAACGATTGGGTCAAGGGATAAAGCAATGCATGAGCCGGTTGTTAAAAGTTGAGATTTCAGTAAATTGAGCTCTTAGACTACAGAATTTATTGTATAAATCGTTTATCCGAAAACGGCGAACACCTGACATCAAACCATATATTATTGGCATCTTCAGTAGGCACTGATATATCCAGCTTGCCATGCTGAAGGAGTTAATGCAATGTTAAGCATTCCACCGTTGTTAAAGTGCGAGTGAAAATTTCCTCCAAACAACTTTATGAGATTAGCAGATTAAGAATTTGTCTTGATATCGTGATTATTGTTCAACAAAAACACACAGGAAAGTAGGACATAAAGAAATGCAGAAGTGAGGCAGCAGAAACCAAGCTTAGGAAAGAATGCGAAATTATACAAGCGGTGTTAAACTCGAGGTTCAAACCTACCTCATTAATTACGAGGTACATGTCATTTAGAAGAAAATCCAGAAATGTAGGTAAATTCTAACAATCAGTGAATTGACTGACGTTTAGAAATACAGCGTGTTATGGACGAAATTGTGTTTTGTGGTCAAAAGGCTGTGCACAGTTTACACTGTTTTTCCGAAAAGTGTCATACCAACTGAGCTGAAACTTCAACAGGTTAGGCTTTGAACATTCTTTGGAGTTTGAGTGGTGCTACATTGGAAAGAAACAAAATACATGAAGAGAAAATGGTCCTATATGCCTTTCATTCATATCTATTATATTAAACATGATATTTCACATCACAAATTCACACAGTTGACTAATAATTTTCATCACTTTACAGATACCTATGATATCTTTAAATAACAGTTCATGCCTTCAGATCCTACACCAGGGTAGTCCAGTGCGTGAGATATGGAGGCTCAAGTGTGTGTGTAAAGGAATGAGGAACTGAAGGAGTTCCACACAGGTGGTGTAGAATTTACACGTTCTTTGAAGTGCCTATGTTGTGTCTTTCTTTAAATGAAAATAACTTTTTGCATGTAGAATTAATTAGTTTCCAGAATATGTTTTTGATTGAGCCCGTGGATACTTGTTAAGAAACAAGTTGTTCTTAATTTTGATCAAAATGCTGCTTCAAACCTGTCTTTTCGTTGTTGGTATTTATTTTATTTAGTTGTTAATGTTTGAGTTTTGATATTCAATTTTTTTTTTAAATTGTGATGTTATTTTTTTATGCAAACCTTGTAACGTAGAACATCATTTCCCAGCAAAATATGTGCTTGGAAGAACACTCCAGTAATTTCTGTTCAGACATTGAACCGTATGCTCAACATTCCCGTGATAACTTTCAACTCTTAAAATGATGCAAGTTGTATAAAATATAATAAAATAACTTTTATATTCAATAAGAATGAATTGTGCAAATAGTGTACATAATCATAATTTTAAAAATATGCAATGACCAGATTTTATATATTTTTTTTTATAGTGTTATAAAATATGGCAAGTTATCATGCAAACTAACTGAGGATTGGGTTTAAGTGGGCACTTTTGTGTGAATGTAGTAGGCCTATAGAATCACTGAAATGGTATTTAAGAGTTTGATTTTGCTGCACGGTGCACCTGATTGTCAACAAGGAAGCATTATTTTAATTGTAATTCTATTGGTATATTTATGCTGAAAATATATTCTGTATATTGGCTGTTGCATTTTTGCTTTTTTAAGTATAAGATGTGAATATAAGTTTGTATGTACACAAATTTGACATTTTATTTTCTATGGACTTCAAATGTAGTAATAAATCAATATGCCCGAAGTTAAATGCTTTAACAGTATTATGACTTTATCATTCTGCAAATTCTGTTTTTTAGTTTCAAACATTTAAGACATTAAAAACGATATATCCGTTTCTAAAACCTGTTTCAATTTGTGTGTGTTTCGTCTTTTTTTTTTAATCTGAGCACAGCAACACATAACTCAGAAATGCTTTAATGGTCATTCCATAAATTTGGGGTCATTTTTTGTGTGTCCCTTTTACATCTGATTTATGATTTTGTATATTCAGGGAACATTCTTTAATGCCTTCTGTCTCCAAGAATGATTATGTAGAGCAAAGTATCTTCCTTTTTAATAATACAGGTCGGGTGTAAAGGGGGTACAAAAAAGTCACTTTTGGATCCCAAATTTATGGAATGATCCCTAAAGAATGTAGTATCCAGACGCCACTTTGGTTGTGTGCAAAGTCTATGGAGAGTTGCATGTATTTTCTAACAACATGTTAAATTTCCCAGAAAAGTCAAAGTTTGCCCAATTTTGATGAAAATGCAAGTTACAATGTTAAATTTCCCAGAAAATCATATTTTGCCCAGTTTTGATCAAAATGCAAGGTTAACCCCTTAAAGGGAATATACAACATTTGCAAACATCGAAAAATAAAACTACCAAGTTTTTGCGAAATACCTTAATAGGATGTTGGTAAATGACAGTCTAAAGCATCCTGTAAAATTATGGCACCTGGTATACTGTCATTTTCAAGAAAAGTGGTATTTTTGTATCAATTTCCAACGCTGATCGGCCGATCAGCGTTGGAAACAACTGTTTTTTTTCCCAAATACTGGCCCCAATTGACCATCGCACTTGTTTACAATCGATTACAAACCTATGAACGGGTACGAGCCAGCTAGACTGGTTCCCTAACCTTACAATTCCCCAATGTATGTAAACTGCTCTGTTTCTTCTTATATGGAGTCAGGGAACCAGACTACAGGAAAATGATCGTTTTTCTTGGTTTTTATAGCATTTTCGAACCCAAAACCTCCAAAAAGTCAGTGTAACTATATTTGCTTTATATTTCCAACCCCCCAATTCCAACCATTTCTGAAAATTACAGCAAAAGCAAATGATGTATATTCCCTTTAACATTTTAAATGTTCAAGAAAAGTCAAATTTTGATGAAAATGCAAGGTTAACCCCTTACTATTTAAATTTTCCAAGAAAAGTCAAATTTGGCCCAATTTTGATGAAAATGCAAGGTTAAATTTCCAAGAAAATCATATTTTGCCCAATTTTGATGAAAATGCAAAAAACAAAAAAAAAATGTTAAATTTCCCAGAAAAATCAAATTTTGCTCAGTTTTGATCAAAATGCAAGGTTAACCCCTTACAATTTTAAATGTTCAAGAAAAGTCTAATTTTGATGAAAATGCAAGGTTAACCTCTTACAATGTTAAATTTTCCAAGAAAAGTCAAAGTTTGCCCAATTTTTATGAAAATGCAAAAAACAAAAAAAAAATGTTAAATTTCCCAGAAAAATCTAATTTTGCTCAGTTTTGATCAAAATGCAAGGTTAACCCCTTACAATTTTAAATGTTCAAGAAAAGTCTAATTTTGATGAAAATGCAAGGTTAACCTCTTACAATGTTAAATTTCCCAGAAAAGTCAAATTTTGTCAAATTTTGATGAAAATGCAAGGTTAACCCCTTACAATTTTAAATTTTCCTAGAAAAGTCAAATTTTGCCCTATTTTTATGAAAATGCAAGGTTAAAGGGAATATACAACATTGGCTTTTACTGTTATTTTCAGAAATGGATAGATTTGGGGGTTAGTATTTTATAGTAAATATTGTTACACTGACTTGTTTGAAGTTTTGTGTTCGTAGATGCTGGATAAACCAAGAAAAACAATCACGTTCCTGTAGTCTGGTTCCCTGACCCCCCACATAAGATGAAACGGAGCAATTTATTGACATCGGGGATTTGTAAGGTCATGGAACCAGTCTAGCTGGCTTGTACCCATTCATAGGTATGTAATCGATTGCAAACACTATGTGGACTAACTAAATATGGTAAATTTGGGGTAGTATTTGAAAAAAAGCCAGTTTATTTCCAACGCTGGTCGGCCAACCAGCGTTGGAAATTGATTTTCTTGAAAAATTTTCTTGAAAATGACAGCCCACCAGGTGCCATGATTTTACAGGATGCTTTAGACTGTCATTTACTAACAGTCCAGTAAAGTATTTCATAATACTTTGATAGCTTTAGTTTTTGATGTTTGCAAATGTTGTATATTCCCTTTAACCCCTTACAATGTTAAATTTCCAAGAAAAATCTAATTTTGCAAAATTTTGATGAAAATGCAAGGTTAACCCCTTACAATTTTAAATTTCCAAGAAAAAACATATATTGACCAATTTTGATGAAAATGCAAGGTTAACCCCTTATAATTTTAAATGTTCAAGAAAAGTCAAGTTTACCAAATGTTGATGAAAATGCAAGGTTACCCTCTTACAATGTTAAAATTCCCAGAAAAATTAAATTTTGGCCAATTTTGATCAAAATGCAAGATTAACCCCTTACAATTTTAAATGTTCAAGAAAAGTCCAATTTTATGAAAATGCAAGGTTAACCCCTTACAATCTTAAATTTCCCAGACAAGTCAAATTTTGTCAAATTTTGATGAAAATGCAAGGTTAACTCCTTACTATTTAAATTTTCCAATAAAACTCAAATTCGGCCCAATTTTGATGAAAATGCAAGGTTAACCCCTTACAATGTTAAATTTCCCATAAAAATCAAATATAGTCAAATTTTGATGAAAATGCAAGGTTAACCCTTTACTATCAAACTGAAATTTGACCCAATTGAGATGAAATGCAAGGTTAAGCCCTTACAATGTTAAAATTCCAAGAAAAATCAAATTTTGCCAAATTTTGATGAAAATGCAAGGTGAACCCCGTACAATTTTTAAATTTCCAAGAAAAGACATAAAAATTATATTGACAAATTTTGATGAAAATGCAAGGTTAACCCCTTACAATTTTAAATGTTCAAGAAAAATGTTAATTTATTTCTAACAAAATCGATGGTTTTTGCTCAAATCTTCCAAATATTGGGTGTTTGAGTATTGATTGGTGCTCCTCTAACTTCGAAAGGATTTTCTGCTTTGTTTGGAGATTTTTGGCCAAATTTTGATAAAAAAAGTAATTGCATTTTTTTCAATTTTCACCAAAAAACGAAATTTATTGTAACTTGCTAGCAAGATGCCTTAGGGACCCTAGAACACATATCAACTCCATTTGTAGAAAGATTTGCTTTTCAAAAGAAAATATGGACGAAAATATGGGGGGAAATTAGTCAAAAATGTTAATTTATTTCTCAAAAAATCAATGGTTTTTACCCAAATCTTCCAAATATTAGGTGTTTGAGTATTGATTGGTGCTCCTCTGACTTCGAAAGGATTTTCTGCATTGTTTGGAGAAAAGTCAATTTTTTGCCCAATTTTGATTAAAAAAGTAAGGCTAACCCCTTGCAGGTTTTTCCAATTTTCACCAAAAAACGAAATTTATTGTAACTTGCTAGAAAGATGCCTTAGGGACCCTAGAACACATTCGTACTCCATTTGTAGAAAGATTTTCTTTTCAAAAGAAAATATAGACGAAAATATGGGGTAAAATCAGTCCAAAATGCTTTTTTATTTCTCACAAAATCGATGGTTTTTGCACAAATCTTCCAAATACTGGGTGTTTGAGTATTGATTGATGCTCCTCTGACTTCGAAAGGATTTTCTGCATTGTTTGGACAAAAGTCAATTTTTGGCCAAATTTTGATAAAAAAGTAAGGCTAACCCCTTGCATTTTTTTCAATTTTCACCAAAAAACGAAATTTCTTATAACTTGCTAGAAAGATGCCTTAAGGACCCTAGAACACATTCCAACTCCATTTGTAGAAAGATTTGCTTTTCAAAAGAAAATATGGACGAAAATATGGGGTAAAATCAGTCAAAAATGTTAATTTTTTTCTCACAAAATCGATGGTTTTTGCACAAATCGTCCAAATATTGGGTGTTTGAGTATTGATTGATGCTCCTCTGACTTCGAAAGGATTTTCTGCATTGTTTGAAGAAAAGTCATTTTTTGGCCAAATTTTGATAAAAAAGAAGGCTAACCCCTTGCATTGTTTTCAATTTTCACCATAAAACGAAATTTCTTGTAACTTGCTAGAAAGATGCCTTAGGGACTCTAGAACACATTCCAACTCCCTTTGTAGAAAGATTTGCTTTTCCAAAGAAAATATGGACGAAAATATGGGGTAAAATCAGTCAAAACTGATAATTTATTTCTCACAAAATCGATGGTTTTTGCACAAATCTTCCAAATATTGGGTGTTTGAGTATTGATTGATGCTCCTCTGACTTCGAAAGGATTTTCTAAATTGTTTGAAGAAAAGTCATTTTTTGGCCAAATTTTAATAAAATAGTAAGGCTAACACCGTGCATTTTTTTCAATTTTCACCATCAAACGAAATTTCTTGTAACTTAATAGAAAGATGCCTTAGTGACCCTAGAACACAATCCAACTCCATTTGTAGAAAGATTTGCTTTTCAATAGAAAATATGGACGACAATTATGGGGTAAAATCAGTCAAAAATGATATTTTAGTTCTCACAAAATCGATGGTTTTTGCCCAAATCTTCCAAATATTGGGTATTTGAGTATTGATTGATGCTCCTCTGACTTCGAAAGGATTTTCTGCATTGTTTGAAGAAAAGTCATTTTTTGGCCAAATTTTGATAAAAAAGTAAGGCTAACACCTTGCATTGTTTTCAATTTTCACCAAAAAACAAAATTTCTTGTAACTTGCTAGAAAGATGCCTTAGGGACTCCAGAACACATTCCAACTCCCTTAGTAGAAAGATTTGCTTTTCAAAAGAAAATATGGACGAAAATATGGGGTAAAATCAGTCCAAAATGATAATTTATTTCTCACAAAATCGATGGTTTTTGCACAAATCTTCCAAATATTGGGTGTTTGAGTATTGATTGATGCTCCTCTGACTTCGAAAGGATTTTCTGCATTGTTTGAAGAAAAGTCATTTTTTGGCCAAATTTTGATAAAAAAGTAAGGCTAACACCGTGCATTTTTTTCAATTTTC